TTTTGCATATAAGAGAGCAGGTTTAAAAATATGAATGGCACTGAGCAAAGTTCTGTGATGACTTATGCTCACACTATGACATGTGGTCTCCTGAGACCCCGGAACTAAGAAAAGTGAGAGCCCAAGGAACATCAGATATTTGGAGGAGGCAATGTTGGGGTAGTGAAATAGGGGGAAGAGGCATTTATGTCAAACCATGTACACTTTAAATGATCAAAGTGAGTGAGAACTAATGGAGACCCTAGAGACCACAGATTCCAACCCTGTCATTTTATAGATGAGGAAATTGAGGTCCAGATAGGGGAAGAGTCTTGCCTGAGAGAAAGCAATGGAAATTAATGCTACAGCCAGCATATAAATTTGGTACTTCTAAATTCCAGTCTAGTCCACTTTCTTACCATGGATTGGCCTGAACAGGGGAATCAAATTAGCATTACATGCAATGATTTTTTTTTTTTATCTTTGGACCTCTAATCCATGTTTCAGTATTGTCATCTACGTAATCCGGAAAACAGGGTCCTAGAGTCTATTTTACAGGGCTGCTTTGAGGAAGGTTACTGGTAAGCTACAAATATTATAAGCAAGGCAGCTTTAATAAGTGTTGCTATTTAATAATAATAGCTTAGTTTTATACGTACATGTATGTATGTCAACAAACACATGTGTATATATGCATTGTTTTTGATATGTACATAATGATATATATGCATGTATAAAACTATTGTTTACAAAATGCTTTCCTCACAATAGCCAGCTGAGGTAGGTAGAGCAAGCATTACTCTTCCCATTTATTTGAGGTTCATAGAAGTCAAAATGACTTATTCAAGATTATGGTGCTATTAATGCCAGCTCTAGTTCTCAAATCTCATTTTCTATCTATTCTGTGCTGCTGCTCTTTTATTATCATAAGTCACTATGGATTCAAGATCTAGAGTTAGAAAATACTTTGGAGAAGAATTCCTCCATTTTATAGACAAAGAAAATAAGACAAAGAGGCTAACTGACTTCTCCAAAGTCATATAGTCATATGTCTCTGTCTCTGTCTTTGTTTCAGAGGCCCTGCTTAACCATCCTGTCTCTAGCAAAATTAAAAATTCCATTCATCCTGTCATAACTTCCAATCATGGAAGATTCTGCTATTTTATTTGTCCTTGTGTAGCTCTAAATTGTGCCTGCTAAACTTCATTTCCTATGAATTGACTTCCAGTCTGACTCATCGTTACAAATTCATCCCATGTTCCCTGCTCCCTTCGTGCCCCCTGCTAAACACACATATACCTAATAGGGGATAGGGATAGCATTAGACCTATGACGTTATCACTGTAGGGAAATTCCTGTTGGAAGTCCTCACCACTTCATATCTTGTTCTATTGAAATAGCCTTCAAGCTGCCAAAGCAATCTTCCTAAGACACAAGTCTGACCATGTCACTCCTCTACTCAGTATATTTTAGTGGCTTACTGTTGCCTCCAGGCTCAATCATAAAATCCTTGGTTTTTGCTTCCAAAGTCATTCACAACCTCACCTCATCCAACTTTTCTTATCTTCTTATCTTTTGTTACCCTTTCCAATGTTCTACAATATAGTGACACTGGTCTTCTTGCTTCCTCCCATACAACCATCCATCTCTAGATTACATGCCTTTTCATCGACTATCTCTTTGTGTACAACACTCTCTGTTCTCACCTCTGTTTTCTCCTTTCCTTCCAGATTCAGTTCAGATCCCACCTTCTGTAGAAGATCTCCTGGTCCCCAGCAAAAAAAAAAAAAAAATCCTCTTACTCAGTGGCTAGTATAAAGCAAGCACTCATTAACTGCTTGTTGACTGACTCCCTCCTATGAGGACACTGCCTGTATGAATGCAGGCCAGAAGCTCCTCTACATCTTAGAGTCTTAGCCCAGAGAACTGAAAGGTGAACTAACTTCCTCTGGGTCACACAGCCAGTATGCTTCAGAGGGAGGAATTGAAATCAGATGGTTCTGACTACAGAACTGGTTCTACATCTAGTAAGTCATACTACCTACCTCTCGATATAACTAATAAAAAAGGGAAAAAAAAAGAAATGAAAGTGACCTTAACAATGACAAATTGTCTCTGACTCATACCTAAGAACCAAATACCAAATCAAAATAAATTAGAGAGCCTGAACCCATTGATGTACAGTTCTTCAGAAGCTACCACAAGGAAGGTCTGTGCTCCAGTTAAGACTTGAGGGAAAAAAGGCATAACATAAAGGTAAGATTTTAAGACCTCTTACCTTAAGAAATTGTCATCCCTTTCAAAATTGATTTTAGTTTGATTTTAAATGGATTGGAAAGTTCAATTATGTAGGACATGGTTTAGGATGAAATGCTATGGACATGTTCTCTAAGGACATCTGGGCCATCTTCACTAAATAGCACTTAAGTGGACTAAAGGAATAACCCTGTCTTATAACTGACAGAAAAGAATATAGATAGTGAGATGCATAGACGGGTATAGATAGCTGGATCTGTCTACCCATCTCTCTCCTCTCTCTCTCTCTCTGTGTCTCTCTATATCTCTGTATCTCTCTTTGTTTCTGTCTCTGTGTCTCTCTCTGTTTCTCTCTGTTTCTCTCTTTTTATGTCTGTCTCTGTCTCTCTCTCTGTCTCTCTGTAATAGGAATGATTTAGAGCAGGGGTGGGGAAACTGCAGCCTGGAGGCCACATGTGGCCCTCTAGGTCCTCGAGTGCAGCCCTTTAATTGAATCTAAACTTCACAGAACAAATTCCCTTAATAAAATTATTTGTTCTATAAAACTTGGACTCAGTCAAAAGGCTGCACCCAAGGACCTAGAAGGCCACATGTAGCCTTGAGGCAACAGGTTCCCCACCCTTAATTTAGAGTCTAAAGCATTAGTCTAATTTAGATTGATTTAGACTACCCCCTCTGATATCTCTTGTAAATCTAATAATTATTTTATTCTTTGATTAAAAGGGAGTTCAGAGGTATAGTCCAACCAACTGAATTTATAAATGAGCAAACTGAAGACTGTAGAGAAATGATTTAGAGGGAAAGAGAGAGAGAGAGAAAGAAGAGAAGAGAAGAGAAGAGAAGAGAAGAGAAGAGAAGAGAAGAGAAGAGAAGAGAAGAGAAGAGAAGAGAAGAAGAAGAGAAGAGAAGAGAAGAGAAGAGAAGAGAAGAGAAGAGAAAAAGAGGGGAGGGGAAGAGAGGGGAGGGGAGAGGAGAGGAGAGGAGAGGGGAGGAGAGAAGAGGAGAGAAGAGGAGAAGAAAACAGAAGAGAAGAAACTTTGTATTTGGTAAAGAATGATAAAATAATTTAAAACTCATAACATTAGATCAGAAATGGGGCTTTAATAGGCTATGATCATAGATAAATAGGAGGAACTTTAATACTCATGAAGTTCAACACCTTCATTTTATAACTGAGAAAATTAAGGATCAGAGAGTTGAAATTAATTTCTCTAGACTGCACAGCTAATTAGTTGCAGAGATAATAAAACCCAGGTTTCAACTCTCAATATAGTGCTCATATTGTGGACCTTCATCACCTTGTAAATGTCTAAATTTACTTCTGAAACCTGCTCTTGACAGAGGGAATTTTACTTTGTTAATTTTCAGTATCCATTCATTGATTGTGTTTTTTTTTCCAGCAAATATTTGATGGACTCTACGTATATAAAATTGTGCTGAGAACTAAAGGCGATACAAGATACACTGCAAAGAGCTTGCTGTATAAGATGTCACAATATATGAGAGATAATAAGTCAGGCAACAAACATTTATTAAGCAATTACTATATACTATGCACTGTACTAAGGATTGGATACAAAAAGAAAGGAAAAATAATAGTACCTACTCTTAAGGAATTCACACTCTAACAAGAGCAAAAATATGAAAATAACTAGATTCTCTTTACCATATATGAATATATATATATACACACACACATATATACATATATACATACATATATATATATATATATATATACACACATGCATGCAAAATATATGTGCATGCATTTATACCCATATATAATGCATGTGGTTATTTACATATTATCATATGTGCATTAATATATACTTAAATGCATATGTGTATGCATATATAAATATGTATACCTATATGTACATACATTTATGTATTTATGCATATATATTTATATATGTGCATACATACACTTAGAGAGAGATATAGACAGAGCTGGAGGGAATAGGAAAGACTTTAGGACACAGGTGAGATTTGAGCTGAGTCTCAAAGAAAGCCAGAGAAAATAAGAGTGAGCTATAAGGAAGGAAAGCATTGCAATGCTAAGTCATAGAGATGGAAAAGAGCATAGTGTGTAAAAAACAGCAAATAGGTAAATGAAAATGTAACACAGAATGTGTGGGATGGTGAAATGCATAAGAAAATTAGAAGGATAGGAAGGGTTCAGGGGGTAAATTATTTTAAATGCCAAACATAGGACTATGTATTTGATACTATAGGAGGGAGTCAATAGAATTGAGTGAGTAAGAGGGTTATAGGGTCAGAATTTTGCCTCAGAAAAATAACCTTGACAGCTGAGAGGAGGATTGGCTTGGACTGGAGAGAGAGATGAACTAGGAAAATGTATTAGATTACTATTTCAATAATCTGAAAGAGAGATGATGAGGGCCTGAAGTAAGTCTGCATGAGTGGAGAGGGAGTGACATATGGGAGATGTGAAAGCAGCAAGATTTAGTTAAGTGAAAAACCAGTATCCAGGAGGAAAAGGTGATCTACTGTGTCAAATATGGCAAAGAGGTCAAAGAGAATAATAATTGAGAGGAGGGAAAAAAAGATGCTTCCTTGTTAACAATTAAATAACAATACAACCCAAGTGCATTGTGTCAAATAAGATACATATTGTGAAATTCTAGGAACCAAGGGGTGGGAGAGATCACTTTAAATTCAAGCAATCAAGACAGAAAGGTGTCATAAAGGAAGTGGAACTTGAAATGGATTCTGAAGAATACATACACAAAGAATAGTGAGAACATTCCAAGCAGGGGGATATTGTAAACAAGACTATAAAGACAGGAATAATTATTATCATCTTTAGAAGATAATGAATAGGTAAATGTGATGTGATGAAAGTTGACATAGGACAAATGTCTCCTATCTTAGGTTAATAAGACAGGGGTTTGTGTCTTAATGCTGCCACTTACGGCAAGATATCTATCTGACCTTAGATAAATCATTTCTTTCCAGACTTCCATTTCTTCATTTATAAACTCGGGTGGTTTGGCTGAACCTCTGAACTTCCTTTGAATCAAAGAATCAGCATTAGACGGAAGAGACATTAGGAAGGGGATAGTCCAAATCACTCAGAGTACATATGAAGACACAGAGGTTCATGATGAACACATTGCCTCAACACCAAACCATCAGTAAGTTAAAATACTAGTACTCAAACCTAAGTCTTCTTCTTGATGCCCCTTCCCTGATGAACAGTTGTGGCATGATCAGTATGATGACTGGAAGATACTGGTGATTCTGCAGCATAACAAACATGTTTATTCTTCACTGCATATTCCTTGGCTAACTATGTTTCTTGCATATGTATCCTTCCATATGTGTGCCCTGGTCATATATGTTTCCTATATGTGTGCTGTTTCACAAGATCATTCTAAGTGTGTCTTTTCTTCCCAATGACATATGTACAACTGTTGGGAAGCATGCTCTAAGTTTGTGGAGGAAATATTTCATTTCTACTTCTCTTGATAAGCTATTTCATTAAATGTCTTTGCTTTGAACTACTGCCTTCTGGCTGACCAATAAAAGCAAACACATTGATGGGAGCTCATGAACTATGGCTCTGAGGAATATAGGTCCAACTGGTAGTCTTTTTTGATAACTCACTGAGAAAGCTGGTTGGGTGGGGGTGACCTAGGTGTCAAGTTATGCTTAAAATTATCACAGGGATTGTAGCCAGTGATGCTGTGATGATGTAAGTCAGAGCTGCCATCATGAAGGCAGTCATTATGTCTGCTGGTTGCTAGCAACAGACTTTCCTGGTCACTACATTGGATTCAAAGGACAGAATGTGACTCTTCAGCTACTTTCATGTCCTATTCCAGGTTGGCCAACATGTACCAGTGATTCAGAAAACCCATTGGGTGCTAGGGAAGGACCTTTTCCACCTGAGTCAAAGAAAGCAGGGTATACATTTGGAATAGTAGATTAAAGATGAGACACCAGAGTGCCTAGGTGGTAATGAACTCCAGTGGTTGAGTGGAGTGGAAAAAATGTTGCCAGTGGAAGGTTTCAAAGTCAGCAGTGAGACAAGTTGGTGAAGTTAGCAGACAGTTGTCTTTGGAGTCAGGAGAACTTGGATTTTTGAAGGCCTCCTCAGACACTGCTACCTGGGTGATGCTGGGCAAGGTACTCTCTCAGGCTGTTTTCTATCTGTCAAAAAAGGGAAAATAATAACGTGTATTCTACAGATTTGTTTATAGGAGTCAAATGAAATAAAAAATAAAAAAAAACTATTTGTAAGCTTTTAGGTGCCATACAAATGTGAGTTATTACTAGGACCACAGACAATGAGGAAAGTCATATGGCAGAAGGGATAGGGAGTTGCTTTCTATTTGTCTTGAAGCAATTTCCAAAGCTATAGCCTTGTTATTATGACTGCTTGCCATCCTTGATGTTTTCTATCACTTACATGATCATAGGACCATGGGCTGAGTCTGGCAGGACTCCTTCAAACTTAGACACTTGTTCAACTGTGTGAGAGTTGGGCCAGGATAAGTTTTTGGTGGCCTGCTTCATAATAAATAAGACATTAGTCATAGTGATGGAAGGGAAGGTTTCAGTAAGAATGTACCCTGTGTTTAATTCTAGCTCAATGGTCAATGTTGACATTTACATCAGTCTCTAGTTCCTGAGGTCTCATCATGAGAAAAGTGCCTGTTATTTGTATTGGTAGCAGTTTAGGATAGGGATGTTCTTGAAAGAAAAGCTGTCATTTGTGTGAAAACATTTGTTTCATATTATCCCATCACTGCCATCTACTCAAACCATCAAGGCTTACTTTTCTCAAGGAAAGATAAAGAGTAACAGTGTAAGGCAACATTTATGTTTTTGTTTTTTGTTGTTGCTGCTATTTTTTCTGGATGGGGAAAAAGATTCTACCTGAAATTACATTGGTATAAGAGCTATTGGTGGGGAAGTGCCTCTACACATTTGGGATGGCACCTTCTTTGTAACTCGCCATCTTGGAGAGTTCTCTGGGATATTTAAAGGTTAAATGATTTCCTCAGGGTCACAAGGCCAGTAAGTATTAGAGGCAGGACCTGAGCCTAGGTCTCCCTTGTTCCAAGTTGGGATGTCTATCACAATGTTATATCACCTTTTGTTTTCTAGGTGCCAAGATATGCTTTACACAGGATGATGAGGCATAAGAGCGTCTTTGCTGAATTTTTTCTCATAAACATGAAAATTTCCGGAAAAGGTTATTGTGAACAGGCCTATAGAATGTCTCAGTGTAGAGGGCTGGAATCAGGAGCTGTCTTTGAGTCTTGGTTTTAATGCTTATAAGGCCTATGTATTTGGATAATTCAAGCCTCAGTTTCCATAACTGTAAAATATAAATGATGATCATTGCATTACCTAAAGGGCTAACTTGCTGTGAGCTAGTATTACTTTATATCAACTCCATTCATGAGTTATCAATTTGGAGATAAAGCTTAAATCTTTCATAGATAATAGGATGGGAGTCAAAGGTTGAATGAGACTCTAGGTATCATCCTATCTTCCCCCTCACTTTACAATTGAGCGAGACTGAGGTTTAGAGGGGGAAGTCAACTTTTTCTAGGCCACATATGCAGTTAGCAGAGCTGTGGTTCCAACTGAGGGACATGGACTTCAAATCTAGTCTTCTTTTTCACACCATCACACTGCTAATTTGTGTTAGATTTTGTTTTTTGGGGGGTTTTATCTTTTCCTTAGCCTTCAACTGAATCAAATTATCATCTTATATTTAAATGGTATGTATATGAAAATGAAAAGAGATCCATTAATCTCCAGATACCTTGGGTTCATTTTACTTCATTTTGTTCTACTTAGGAAAAGAAGAAAATGAACTTAAATGTCTTAGATTTCCCTTAAGACACATGAAAAAAAAAAGCTATGAACAAAAAAGGTCAGCTACCAGCAGAGGAGACTATATAAAATACAGAGGCAGGGCAAGAAAATCTTCTGTATTTAAGGAGAGAGATAATGTGAGAGATAGAGAAGGGTTTTAGGAGCTCCCGTTTATAGAGTGTTTCAATATTTGCAAAGCACTTTTCATCCTTTCTCTAAGGCTAGCCATGCCTTCTGCAGCTGTGCAGCCTCTACCTAGACTGTCAACTCCCCACTACTAACCTGGGTTTGAATCCAAGTTACTTTTATCTTAGCAGACCCAGAATGTAGGCCTCCAAATCATTTCCTGTACTGTTTCTTATGTCCTGAGGAATTTACACTTGCTCCATATCACCTCCTTTCCATTTTCCCTTTTTGGATTGTCTTTTATTAGAATAATCTCTTTGAGGGCATGACCTGTTCTACTTGATGGTATCTGTATCCCCAGAGCTAAGTATAGTTCCTGGCAAATAGTAGGTACTTAATAAATGCTTTTTGGCTGTTTGGCAGTGCCTGGTACATAGTTAATAGCTGAAAAATACAGTGGTATCAAACTCAAATAGAAACGTGGGCCATCAAATCATACATAATGATCCCTGTGGGCCACCATTAGAAAACCATATATTAACATCATTTATTTTTAGTAATTTTACATATATACATATGTATGTAAATGTATATGTGTGCATATATATAAATACATACATATACACATACGTACACATATTTGTGTCTAGTGGCAGCCATCTATGGGGGAAGAGAAAAATAGAAATTTACATGATAACTTTAATATATATATTTTAAAAGAGTGGCAAATTGTACATAATAGATTTGCAGCTTCATGTGCAATCATGTTACTTTTTATTATACTATGTTATGGAAATGCTTGTTTTATTCCATAAATTAATAATAAAAATACAAGTTAAAAACATTACTTGTTTTATTGTATTTTTATTTATTTTGTTAAATATTTCCTACATTTTAATCTTGTTCAGACTGCACTCAGGAGTGTTGTGTGTCACACACTGACCTAGATAGTTATCCATTTTACATATGAGAAAATTGGGGTTCGTGGAGGTTAAAGTCACCTAGTTAGGAAATATCTAAGTTTGGATTCAAACCCAGGGCTTTAGATTGCAAGTCTAGCCCTCTATTAATTACATATACCAAACAGCCTCTTATGCTTAGTGCTTCTGTTCTACTGGCTCTGTCTTCCCAAACCTACCCTCAGTGAAGGGATCTTACTCTCTGAAGGTTAATCTTTAATTTTCATCTGTTGTCTTTTTCAACAATGATGATCTGTTATCTGACTGGGTCTAGATTCTAGGTCTTCTTATACCTAGAGTAGAATGACTTATGCTTCAGTTAGGTACAGTGTGCCTCGATATCTGAAACATAAAAACTCGATTTATACAGGAAATTTGTTCTATGAAGGAATAGAATTTGATAGACCTTAACTACCATGAGTTACCACTAACAAAGCACCCATCTCAATCAACAAATTAGGAGCCTGGTGAGTTGGTGCCAAAATTGTAAAACCTTGATAATGCTCAATATAACTAATGAAAATATGTTTAGAAACAATTTATCTGAATGAATCTCCAGCAAGAAATTGGCTTATTATTCTAGACTGTATTTGGTTCTGAAAAATCAATCTTCCCTTCAGGCCTGTCATCCAGTGGCTCATCAGACATTTAAAGCATCAAATGAGCCAGACGGCTTTTGCCATTCTTAGCAATTTGAACATTTTCGCAGTAGATCAAAAGACATTAGTGCTATTATTATAGAGATTAAGAACACAGCCTCAGTGCAAGAAATGAATGAACAGCATGTTTCTTTAAATGTAATCTTTCTGTCCTCATTAAATCAGCTTTGGTTAAAAACAGCTGACTTTTTTTCTTTCTTTCCTGGTTTCCAAAGGAAATGCAGTAAAACCTATTAAGCGCTGTACATTATTGCCAACATCTGTAACTGTTTGTAGTGCACATTATGAAAAACTTTATATAAAATGCCACAATTGAACTGCAGAGTATTAAAAATGTCAGCCCTATTATATCATTTCTGAAGACCAATTTGCCTTTCTCTTTTTCAGGAGGTTGTAATGAGCTTGGTTCATTTTGCTTTGTACCATTTATCTTTTCAGTAGTAATGGAAAATTTCCCCCTTAGGCACAGCAAACTATTCTTGTCTTAGACGATTAGGCAGAAATGAAGGGGATCATAAAGGTGAGAGATTTCTCCACAAACAATATGATGTGTAGCACAGAGCCTTGTAACATTCAGACCCAGGGATTCCAGTGGAGCTGAAGTGTAGGTACTTGGTAATGCTGTGAGCGCCTGCAGAAAGCAAATAATAATTCATCTATTTCTTAACACCATGGGAAAGCAAATGTTTGGTCATTTTCTATGAGACTTTTCAAAGGCTAAGTGAGTTGTTCTTTTTCCAGGCTCAGCTATCAAGAAGCAGAACTTAACATGAGAATGCAATGTGCTTAATGAAGTTGAAATAAGGCCAGGATATATCTAGCTCAATTCTAGGAAATTTGGGGTGCTGGGATGGAAATATATTTATTGCCCTTGGCCCTCTGGCACTTTCCCTCTAAATCCTGTCCCTAGCAAATTTATTGACTCCCAAAGTTTCAACTCTGATGAGTCCCAAGGTCTCTCTAGACCTATACTCTCTCCCAAGCTCTACATCAGCATTTCTCAAAGTGGTCTAGAGACTCCTGGGGCTCCTCAAGATCCTCCCAAATCATCCAGAGGAACTCCTTTGCACTCACGTAATGTTATCTATAATAGCTATCTGTGCATTTACTGTACTAAACTGTACTGTACTACTTTGTGTTTATCTGTACCAAATTATGCATTGCACCAGACACCAACACTTTGAGTAATAGCTGTAGCTAAGATTCTAGCCCATAGACTCGGACTTAGAAAGACAACAAAGATCTTCAACAGTCTCTGGTTGGTGCATCTCTACCATTCAACTCATCCTTCAACAAACAGGATATTAGGGCACAGAGGGATGAAAAGCAGCCAGACCTAGACCTATCTTCTCTGTCTCTGCCCCTCTTTCTCCATATATACATACATGCATTACAATGTACATTACAATATACATTAATACATATATATATATATATATATATATATATATATATTAAAATAGTGCTTAGATGATAACTCCCACTTATTGGTCTAAGTGCATTGAAAATCTGCATTAACTAATACTTAGTGTCCTGATTTCTGCTTATGGTACTAAATTAAGTCACACTACTCCTTTGGTCTAATAATTCCCTTCCCTAATATGGTCTATTGAGCCAGTCAGCCCAAAGTCATGCGACTTTTCCCTTCCAAACAATGTTATTATAATTTGTTCACACTTATCTTTTACTTACCACATTCTATTTTGTACCCTGGTTATTTATGCCTTATCATTCCCAGTAGATGATAAGCTCTTTGAGAGAAAAGACCATGAAAATCATCGGGACAGAAAAAAACTGGATTTGAGTCCCAGTTCTGATATTTACTAGCTCTGTGACTATGGAATATAGGTGTTCAATTCTCTGATGTTTTTTTCTTCATGTTGGAAATGGAGGTGATAATAATTGACATTTTATACTGCTTTAAACCAAACACATTCATAGCAACATTATTATAATTTTTAAATTAAAGTGTCTTGTCCAAGGTCACACTGTGAACAAATGTGTATTGGATCTGGAATCCACCTGTGAGCCCTTATTCCAAGTTCAGGAATTTTTCCATATCACTTTATTGAATTTGTTATGCATTTCTCAGTAATATTGCCTTATTATATTGATTCAGCAGAAGACGGCTGAATTATTTTTACTCAGAGAAAGTACTAGAACAATAGAGAACTTATTGTATACTCACAGTTATTTCTTGTTGTTATATTGTTATAAGTAATAGTTTGCATGATTCATTATAACTATCTGCTATTTTAAATTTTGCTGAAAGAATAACTTAAATACACGCGCACACACACACACACACACACACACACACACACACATATATTTGATAAAATATTTTAAATTGAATTTTCAGTTGGTAGTTTTACTACAGAATGGAGAAAAAGGGGTCTCTGTATAATTGATTACACCAAATTCAACTGTCTGAGAAACAACCTTTCCTGGTTAGTGATCAACAGATTGCTTATGAACTCAGAGGATCTTATTAATTTTATTTATAATCTGCATTTTTCCAAGGAAAACACTTGGAACCAGGGACAACATAGAAATAAGCTCTCATTAGCTAATCTCATCACCTAAAGGATGTTTTGTATCAGAGTCCTCTGCATGTTTTTAAATTCCCAAAAGATAATGAGAGAATAGGGATATCAAAAAAAAGGTCAGACCCCTAAGCCAACCCCCAGGGGGTGGAGCATGATAAAGATAAAAATTCAATAGCATCTACTTCCCTTACTAGAAAGGAAATGGGTGAAAGGTGTTCCTCAGCCAATATGCCCTC